TCGTCTGCCCATACACCAATACCTTCAGGTATTTCCCGGACGTTCCTTACTCACTGGCTTCGAAGGTCCTCGAGACTTTGAACAAACCGAAATCCGCAAAGCGATCCTCCATGACTGTGGATACCATTTCAAGTCAGATGTTGGGTTACGATGAGTGCGACAATCCCTCGCCTCATAACGGGGCTGATCTTCTCAAGCCGAAATCCCTCTTCCGCCGTATCCTTGGCGGGACAACCCCTACACCGGGTTATACAACTTGCGATGACCTTGGCAATGATGGCGATGATACTCCCCACTCCGGAATCTCGGAGTACTCTCAACCAGATCATATCCAAGCTACCGCTGGGTTCCCATCAGAGGGTCAACCTGACAAGGTGGATATCATTTTCTCGGATTTCCTTGGCGATAGGATCGCTGGGGCGTTGAATTTGGAGCATCCGCCTAAGAATTATACGACGGACGACAGTCTCCTTTATATGCCGGAGAACTTTACTTCGAATACCTTCATTCCTGCTTATGCCTCTATGGCTTGGAAAGACAACATCGACAACTGTTCGATTGCTGGATGAGTGAGGCGGATTTTTCGAAGTTTTTTGACGTCAAGTGATGGTAATGTTTCTAGTCTTATGTAGCTGAGTTAGAGCTTGGGGTGGGGATGGTTGTAGCTGTAGTGAACTAAGTAGTAAGGGTTCGAATTATATCACCTCCCAGCGAATGCAGAATATTCATTTTGTAGCTATTGCGAGATAAATTGATGACGATGCTACTTCGGACAAAGATATTTTCTTGCTTTGATATAATGACGCAAGGAGGACTCCTCTGGGAGGGGGGAAGGGAGGAAGAAGCATGAGGATACTTTATGGAGGAGCAACAGACTCTATAGTGTCATGGACTAAGGCAGGAAATTAAAGGAGGACTGATCCATGAGGTCGACGTGCCATGTCATATAATAAGGGTAATACTGTGCCCGTGGACGGAATAGTCAAATCTTTAGGTGGAAACGATGCTAGTAGAGGGTAGGAGAAAACATTAGGTTAGCGAGATAAAATCAATAGAAAAGAAAATAGACAGCAACGTTATGATATAAGTTGGCTAGTAAATAGCTAAAGAGTAATAACCTATCAATCCAATCCGTTGCACTTTCACCCGTTTGCTCTGCTAGCCACAGGAAGGAAGCCAAAGGTGAAGGCCTCTGATAGAGTATAAATTTTATTTGGTATCAAAGAAGTAACTATAAAGCTAACTGTAGTGAAACCAAACATCAGAAAAGCAATCGCTCCAGATATCCTCAAGCTCCGACAACTATCCCAACACATCATAACTATCCATTCCTCCCCAAATACAAATCATAAGTTATGACATTAAAAGTAACCAACAAGTAGAAACCAAACCCGTCTATCTGACCAGCAGATATAGACAGACATATTACCCTCCTTTCTTTCTCTTCCATCCATTCATCCTTCTTTCCCTTCTCTTTCCTCTCTCGGCTTTCGCCTTTAGTAAAAGCTAATACTGGTACGATTCGCACCACGATAAGTAGTCTGATCAATCCCACCACTCTCACCCCCGAAAGACGCCGAACCAGTCTGAGTCTCATCAGCCGAAGCCCGCGGATTCGAAACTGTCTCCATAATACAGCTTAGCGGGCCACTTGCACCGCCATGGGTACTGCTGCGCGGACGACGGGTACTCGAGTAGATGATTTCGACATCATTGCGGCGCGGAGCTGGGGGCATAGAGCGGCTGGGGTCGAAGCGGCGCTGGCTTGTCCAGCGGGTTGATTGGGGCATGTATTGCTGTTGGAGATGGTTGGGGTTTGGGTGGTACTGTGATTGAGATTGAGAGTGACGCGGGACTTGGGATTGGTCGAAGTGGTAGGATGAGCTGCGGGATGGGTATTGGAGGAGGGTTGGTTGGGCGGTTGTGCTGCGGCGCATTGGGGGTTGGGACATGTGCATTTGCATTTGCATTTGCAATTGTGGGCCTGATGCTCGCCTTGATTGGGAGTATTTGCGGGGCGGTTGGGGACCTGTTATGAAGTTTGGGTGGTGGGGATGGTGGGGATGGTGGACGGAGCGTGGTGCTGGTATTGGGCATACTGTTTGAGAGCGGCGGACTTTTGGTGGTGTTGTTGGGGCTGACGGGACTACCTCTGGGGCGTCCGCGGAATTCATTGTCATGGTTCGGGTGTGCCCTTCTGGGTGGTCTTTCTTTTGGACCTGGGGTTGGCTTGATTCCTGTGCTGGGGAGATTGGAGAGAAGTCTTGGCTGTTAGGTCCGATGACCTGGGGAGTTGTGGACTGAGCAATGTTCTTGGGCATGCTGTTGGGTGTCACGACCTGCTTTTCGACATCTGACGCAGCATTGGGGTCTGCAAGGGCTCGTATCTGAGGGTCCGACGATAAAGGCAGCGACAAGGGGAAAGACCTTGGGAGGAAACGTTTGAGAGAAGACAGTGACGACTTTTGTCTCTTGTGACCCGCGTACTTTTCAGGGATCGTTGGGATCTTGGGAACGGGTGCATCAGATAGTAAGGCGCGTAGCTCGTTGCCTGTCTGCGAAGTCATGACGGTAGATGTGCGCGAGATAGGGTAGAATTCGCTAGCAAGACTCTGTGATCCGGGCGAGATACGGGTCAGAGTGTCGTCCGGGGAGATAGTTGTTCCAGAAACAATCTCCCCATATGTCGAGCCAGGATCTGTATTGACTCGGAGCTGAGGGCGGAAGCGAACGGGAGCAGGGTGTCGGATACTGGGATGACAGTTGACTCTGTTGGCGATGGGGTCTGCGGACCAAGAGTATCCGGTTCCATTGCCGTCATGTTGGCGACAAAGATAGAGAATTTCGTTCTTGAGTGTCTCTTCGCTATCCCAGCTGTTTCCGGACAAAATGCTGCCGTCTCGGAGAACTTCCTGGCGCCTGTAGATCCCGAGAAGGGAGACGTCATATGGGCGATCGCAAAGCTCTCTTGCACAGTACATGATGCAAACGGTAACCCTATGGCGCAATTGTCAGTTGATGCGAAGACAGCGGGGGTGGCGTGAGACTTACATCGAGACCACAGATACAATCACTGTAGCTCGGTGGAAAGCACAGCTCATACCAACTCTCCAATAACTCGCATCTGTGCCTTCGGGAAGACAATAAACCTGCTGCGCGGCGATCACTAAACCAGCTACACTGGTAGCCAGCCATAGCATGAGGTCGAGTCGTAGAACATAAGTGCAGACGTTATGCAAGACAGTTTTTTGCGTTCCAAATCCTCCGATGTTGTTATACTGCCAGGCGACCAGGCTCTGCAGACCAACCAGAGGAAAGGAGAAACACGACTTGATGGGAGTTAGCAAAATGTACAAAAAATATGTAGATCGAGCGGAACATACTGCGACCAGCGATAGCACAACACTCAGAGTCATCTTTGAGTCAACCTGTTCATTTCCGTAAAGGTAGAGAGCAAGTACAGCTTCCAGAATAGACTCGAAGAGAAGGAAGTATAGCGCAACGAATATGATAAGCTTCGTCCAAGTACCTTCCTTCCGCGGCTGAGCCGAGGAACCAGACTCCATAATGGCGACAGGTAAGCTTGATGTCGATCGCAGTTCTCCCGTCAAAGCTTCCTGGTATGCGAAAGCCGGACAAGGAAGAGAAGATCGCCAGTATCGGACAGACGTATTGAATGCGCCGGGTCCAAATCCAACCCAGAATTAGACACACTAAAGAATCATCAATGGCGCGTGAAGTAGTTAATATAGAAGGCTCACGAAAGAGGAGCGCTCCAGGACTAAAAAGGGAAATAATGGAGGGTTCCCTAGCCCTGGAGCGCGTCGACGCGGTTAGAGTGTGGAGGGGTGGAATGCAGCGTCCGAGGGGGTCTGGGAAGAATCCTGAGCGGATCTCACACTTGGCTTGAGGAGATGAGATGGTCATCGCCTGTCATCAGGAATGTCCCAATCGAGGAGCAGTTGGTGCTAGGGATGCTCATTAGAGGGTTGTTAGTATCCCTGTGGGTCAGTCTACACACGTCAGTTAGTTTCAGTCCCTGAGAATGGAAGATTTGATTCTCATCTTCCAAGAATCCAGTGTTATTCTCCGTGCATGGAAGGGTTGACCTTGGAGGGAGGTTGAAGCTGAGGTTGACGGGAGCCTTTCATAGCCCTAGATCCCTCGATGACGTGCAGTCAACAACACTTGACCACATCAACCTTCATCAATGATAATTAAACAAGAGAAATTACTGCTATTGACTATTAGTTATCTAAATGATTAATTCTGCAACTATTTCGTATCAATTTTGTATCAAATCCCCGAGTAATCCTACAGAGGAAGGGGTCACGTGATCCGAAGGGGTGACTGTGTCTGTAAGGACCAGTCGACCTGGATTCGTAAGAGAACGTAGGTGATAGGCACCTGAATGAAGTGTCATCAATAGTCTATTGTTGGGGAATGTACTTCCTCTTACTGCGAACCATTGCCATAATTTGGTCTCGACTTGGGTTTGATCCTGCCAGATCTATGAGTCTGATACATTCCACCTACACTGGTATTCGAGGTAAAGGACCTTGTTTCAACCAAACTACTGTTGGATTTTTCTCGTTTATTGGCTGTCTTGGTTATGGTTCTCGTGAGCGACAACTTTGTTGACTCCAAAGAGGTGCTGCATTGGTAAGCGCCACCTCATTCTAGGATTCAGAATTGCTCCCTACATCTGCATCAAGGTGTGCATGGTCTGTGGATTTCGGTGCTTCCACCTCCTGTAGCTGAGCCTCCAAGAGAGAATCTGGTTTTTCGCACTATCACAGGGATCAGGTCTTGCCCGAAGGAAGTATACAGGTCACATTTTGCTCAATGCATACAGGACCTTTGTCCATACAATCCAAACCTTACTTTATACCTTAGCACAGTGGCTCAATTGACAGATAAAACGAAAAGTACAGAAATGGTGGTCATATAATCAGTTTCTATATTTTGTCTATATCTTCAAAACCGCAAAGTGAACCCAATTACAGCACAGCAATGCACTCAATCTCAACATCAGTGTTAAGAGGAAGAGTCTTGACCGCAACACATCTGCAGAAGTATGCGTCAGAAAAAAATGATCTCACAACGCGAAAGTACAAAAAAGCAAGACTCCAAAAAAAAGAAAGAACTCAAGGTTGGAATGAATGACTCACGTCCGGCAAGGCTTAACGTCGCCCCAGTATTGCATATAAACCGAGTTCATCTCAGCAAAGTCATCCATATTAGACAGGAAGACGTTGACCTTAACCACCTTGGTGATATCGGTACCGGCCTCCTCGAGGATGTGGGTCAGGTTCTTAATACATTGGTGCTGGAGTGGAAAAGGAGATTCTTAGCAAGCCATATCATCACGTAGCGGTCAATTGGGATAAGAACAGGATGTGTCATACAGTGTGGGCCTTGACATCGCCATCAATCAGCTTGCCGGTGGCAGCGTCCATGGGGACAGCGCCGGAGCAGTAAACGACGCCATTGGCGACGATGGCTTGGGAGTAGATGCCGGGGAGGGGCTTGGGGGCCTTATCGGTGAGGACTGCGGTCTTGGTGGACATTTTGGGTATGTGTATAGTGTAAGGAGTAGAAGAGGAGGTGGAAGGGGAAGTCAATTATAAGAAAAGTTTCCCGGGGAAAGGCTTTTTATCAACGGAGCTATGGAAGTACACCCCGCATCCATCCCACGCGAAACGTAAGTTCCAAAGTGATACGGTAGCGACTAAAGATAGTCACTGTAACATCTTCTGCTGATCTTTACTGAACAGAGTATACTTATCGGCTTATCTCTCCCCCGCATTATCGTTCCCCCCACGTGAGTGGGGGGACTATTTGTACTTGTACTTGTCTCTTGGAATAGTCTCTTCTTTTCTCTGCACCCCCTATTTCTATAATCATGACTGCTGGCGTCACGCAACCCCCCTACCCCCTCCACGAGTCCGTTAAGGACCTGCTGGACCCGGAATATGTGGCCTTCTACAACGAGCATGTTATCAACAACCAGCAAGTCCACCTCCAACCCGTAGAGGCGTCGCGAACAAGCGGTGTCTTGATTCCTGGCGCAGGTCCTATGCTAGATGTGGGCAAGACCCAGGACATCACCATCCAGCGACGCGCTACCGACGGTCCCCCTGTGCCCATCCGCTGCTTTACTCCCAAGGGTCATGCTCCTCCTAGAGGATGGCCGGTGATGCTATATTTCCACGGTGGTGGCTGGGTATTGGGTAATATTGACACGGAGAATGTGGTGTGCTCGAACCTCTGCGTTCGGGGAAATTGCGTGGTAGTGACAGTCGATTACCGGTAAGTCGAGTATGACATTTACATTTCCCAATCTCAGTCTTTTTTTTTTTTTTTGGGAAACTAACTACTCCTCTCTAATCAGTCTCGCACCGGAAAACCGCTGGCCTGCCGCCGTCCACGACTGTTGGGAAGTACTACTCTGGCTAATCGCCGACGGCCCCGCCACACTCGGAGTAGACATATCCAAAATGGCAACCGGGGGCTCCTCAGCCGGCGGCAATCTGGCCTCAATCATGACGCAGAAAGCCCTAACCCTGTCACCGCCAGTTCACTTCCGCGCACAACTCCTCTCAGTCCCCGTGACCGACAACACGGCCACTGTCGAGAACAACGAGTCCTATCGTAAATATGAGCGGACCCCCGCTCTCCCCGCACTGAAGATGTACTGGTACCGCGATCACTACGTGCCCAACGATGCCGACCGGACCAACCCCGAAGCTAGCCCGTTGTTCTGGGAGGGTGATTATTCGCAATTGCCGCCGGCACTGGTTATGGTTGGTGAATTGGATGTGTTGCGCACTGAGGGCGAGCAGTACGCTGCGAAGTTGGTTAAGGCGGGTGTTGAGGTTGATTTGCAGATTATGAAGGGGATGCCGCATCCGTTCCTTGCTATGGATGGGGCCTTGTCGGAGGGTAAGAGGTGTATTACTTTGATGTGTGATGCTCTGCAGAAGGCTTTCTGGCAGTGATTGCTTTCTTTTTAATATAGACGATGTATTACACATTGAGAATAGAGATTTCCGTTTTCTTTTCTGTTTCTTGTCTGTCCATGAAATGTCTAAATTTCGCGAATTGGCCTTTGGTTCTCTAGGTGCAGAACTTCGTGTATGTATTCTGCAAGGGATATGTAAGGACACCGTTGACGCAATCGCAAGTACAATAGGCAGCTTTATTTTTGACATATACTCTGATGAGATAAATGTATGTGTCAATGGTGTCAGCTCATAAGAATATCTGTAGGGGTGTGTGGCATTGTTGTATAGATCTCGAGTGACTGAATTTATAGTGACGTGATGCGATCGCTCTCCCACGAGGTTAATTCGATAACTTGATTCAATATAATGTTTTATATACACGAGCCCTCTCCTATCTAATAACAGGTGATCGCAAATAACATGTAATGTTAATTCATAGCTGACTCTTTCCCCGATGCCGGTTCGGTTGGATATACCCAGATGCCTGCTCATACCACCAAGCCCTATTTCGGTCTAGTACTAACTGCCCACACCAAGACTATAGAAACTATATAAACTAAAATCCAATTAACTTAATAGTGGATACAGTCCACGCAAGTAATCTTCACCCAAAGGCACGGAGTGTGAGACAAAATCCCATTGTTCACGATGTGATAGGACCTGTGATTGGCGGAGAGAATAGCTGCATGGAATTTCTCGACAGTGGCGCGCCATGGTGTCGCGCTATCCACAAGACCCCTGTTGCAAACACGCTACGGTATACGCTTGCTAAGTAGACCCCACAATGCAAAAACAACATATACGTATATAAAAGGTAACAAATAATGACGCTGATGCAATCTGTTCGGATATGAGTATATACAGAAAGTGAAGCATAAAAACCACGTGTCGCTCAAATGCCACGCAGCAGTCAAGTAGATTTCGGGACAACAGTCGTTTCGGAATGGTTGAAAGTGGTAATTCCCGTCCTAATAATCTTCAGTTGCGACGGGCAATGAGGATCGGGGCATGCGATGCTGGCGTCGGTGGTCATCCAGTCATTTTCATGGGTCATTCGTTGCTTAGAAGCGAGCAGGGGTAGAACGGAAGCTATAAAAAGGAAGAACATGTTGGCCTAATCTCTTATCATGTGCAGAAGGGGCCCAAACTCACCCAGACTGTAGATGCTAATGCCCTGACCCGGTGGCAAGTACATCATCTCGCCCTTGAGCGTGAAATAATCGCCTTCTTTGGCGCCGCACATAATGCGCTTGCCCGGTGGACAAACCACCTCGACGCGGAGATCATAGAGTTGGAAAGATTCGTCGGACATCGTAGAGTGTAGATCTCAAAAATGAGTCGAGATAGTTACATCGGGTACTAGATAAGTCCAAGCGGACCGGTGTTCCACTCGCGTCGGTGATCAAAATTCTCCCCTTCTCTCCACCTCCTCCTCACCACCCCATTCTCACCCCAGTACGGAGTAGTGATAAGCTATCAGGTGGCTACTCGGAAGAAAAGCTGCAGGGTACCCCATTTAATTCACTCGTCTGCATGGTCTGATCTGATCTCCATCACCTATATACCATGGCGTTCGACGAGAAAAATGGCACGGAGACAGATGTCGAGTGGTCCGGGTCAAGCTCCTACGAGGGCGAAAATGAGGAGATCAAACGCGATCTCAAATCGCGACATATCAACATGATCGCCATTGCAGGGATGATCGTAAGTCTCCGACCGACTGTATTGTTGATCGCCTTTACTCATGAAAATAGGGAACGGGTCTGTTTCTGAGCTCGGGTCAGGTCATTGCCACAGCCGGCCCCGCGGGCGCTTTCTTGGCTTATATCCTTATGGGCTTGATTACTGCCGGTGTTTCGTATACCACTGGTGAGATCTCGGCTTTTATGCCTTGTAGTGGTGGTTTTGTTCGTCATGCTACGCGCTTTGTTGAGCCTGCTCTTGGTGCCGCCACCGGTTGGAACTTTTGTATGTGCTTGTTGAGTGCAAGTTGATGACTATATACTAATTGGTTTAGGGTATACCATGGCTATTTCGGCTCCGGCTGAGATTACGGCTGCTGCGACCATTGTTCAGTTCTGGAATCCGCCTGTGGATCCTGCGGTTTGGATTACAGTGTTTGGATTTTGTATCGCTGTTCTTAACTTTTGCAATGTCCGCCTCTATGGAGAGTCGGAGGTTGTCTTTGCTTCGCTGAAGATTATGCTGATCATTGGTCTGATCATTGGCGGTATTGTCATCGACCTCGGTGGTACTCCTGGCCAGGAACGTCTCGGTTTCCATTATTGGAATGACCCAGGTGCCTTTAACAACTATATTTCAGCTGGCTCCGCGGGAAGATTTCTGGCTTTCTGGAAAGTCCTCTTAACGTCCGCGTTCAGTTTCGGCAACATCCAAGTCGTCGCCATTGCCGGAGCCGAGACGAGAAACCCGCGCAAGATCATTCCAGATGCTACCCGGAAGACATTCATCCGAGTCTTCGTATTTTACGTCCTGAGTATTTTCATCGTTGGTCTAATTGTGTATGGCCCAGTTACTCCCCTTTGAACCCCGAGTCCCATCTCTAACAACCTTTCAGGCCATATAACGACTCTAAACTAGTCATCTCAACCGGAACAGCCAGCCAATCCCCATTCGTACTGGCCTTTCAACGCTCCGGCGTCAAAGTCGTACCCCACATCATCAACGCAGTAGTCTGCACATCAGCCATCAGCAGCAGTTCCAGCTGTATCTTTATCGCATCGCGGACATTGTACGGACTCAGCCAAGACGGCCACGCACCGAAGTTCTTCCAGCGATGCAATCGCTTCGGAACTCCGTATTTCGCAGTTGGCTTGACCGTTCTGCTTTTGCCGCTGATGTATATGACCGAGGGCAGTAACTCGTCGACCGTCTTTAATTGGTTTGTGAATATTACTACTGTCGCGGGTCTGATTGGCTGGATTGTTATTGAGGCGACTTATTTGCGTTTTTATGCTTGTTTGAAGAAGCAGGGATATTCTCGCGAGGGTGAGTTCTTTTTACCCGGTTTAGTATGTGTGAGTGTTATGGCTGACTGGCGCAGACTTGCCTTATAAAACTCCCTTCCAACCATATACGGCTTGGATTACTGGATTTATGGTTGTATTGATCGTTTTGACTTCTGGTAAGCAGAGATTGAAATTAGATCATATATCACATCGTTATGAGCAGCAACTAACCACTTGTTATCATAGGATATGATGTTTTCTGCGAGGGTAGATGGAACACTTCCACATTCCTAACTTCATACCTCAACATTGCCATCTTCGCCGGTATGTATCCTATCTGCAAGGACAATCATATGAGACAATCCTAACACCCAGCCAGCCCTCTACGTCTTCTTTAAAATCTTCCTCAAGTCAAAGATCATCCCCTTAGAAGAAGTCGACATCAAATCCGAATTCGACAAAATCCAAAAAGAAAAAGCTGCTGGCGAGTACCTAACCAGCGACCAACTAGACTGGCCCTGGTGGAGAAGGATTCTGCACTGGATCTGAGTACTTGCACATACACCGTACACCACTACACATACACATACATCAGGCCCCAAAACCCAGGCCACACACCTCTACATGTATCCACCATCACCTTATATCTAGAATTTGTATAAACCTAATCAATGAGAAACCAAGAATCAAAAATCATAAACTCATAGACATATAATCATCGATATTCACCCCCACAGTCACCCAAACTCTCAAACATCTCAGCCCGCGAACTCCGATCCAGAATCGCCTGGATAAGTCTCTGGTCGTCCATATCAAGCGACCAACCAAGACTAGCCAGATTTTCCTGTGATTGCTCGCTGACGCCCATTCTAGCTCCAACGATCACGGCGCCGACGCATGGGAAGTCTAGGACCCATCGCGTGGCAACGTTTGAGACGGAGACCTTGCGCTTACGGCCGATTTTTTGGAGTGTATGCAGGAGTTCTTGGAAGAGGGGCCAGCCGCCCCAGTTTTGGATCATGGCGAAGTACTGCGGGAGTGTTAGTGGGGTTTAGTCTGTTTGTATGCTGGGTGGGTGTTTCGGGGTTTGTTTTTACCTTGCGTAGACTTGGTGTCATTGTTTCGGCGTAGAGGTCTGGAGCCTCCTTTCCGACCCATTTTTCGGCTAGGAGGCCACCCAACTTTGTTTCTGTTGTTAATCTTTGTGGAGAGGAATTGTAAGGGACTAGGGTTGGGCGTGACTTACCAGGGTGCCGTAGGTGAGGAGCTTGATGTTGTTCTTGTTACAGAACTCTACCATCTTCACTGTGGGTCTTGAGTCGATGAGAGAGAACTATGTATCATCATCAGTATCGGTCATGAGTATGGGTCTTGAAGATGGGTGGAGTGATCGATCAATGATCGAAGTGTCGGTGGATACATACCTGGACTTGGTTAGTGTAGACTTTGACTCCACTCTCGATGGCCTTTTCCATATGTTCTGTGTCGAAGTTGCAGAGACCGAGATGTTTCACTCGGCTGTCTTGCTGCAGGTATTTCATTGCATCAATATACTGGGGGTCATTGTACTGTTTGATATAATGATAAGTGATAGATCACGGATATGCATGCTTGGGGTATGTTGAAACTCACAAATTGCCAGTGGAATTGCAATAGATCGAGTTTATCTGTGCGTAATCTCTGGCAGCGCTCATCTACCTTAGCACGGATAGCTTCGGGTGTAACGCTCATGGGGTGGAAGACGCAGTATTTGGTTGCGGCGAAGAGTGAGTCGGAGTAGTTACTTGCAGACCGGTATTGGCCCTAGAATGGACTGGGTTAAAATCAAACTTGATATGATCCAATAGAGAAAACCCACAAATAGAATCTCGGCATCACCATAATGATCGGCCATATCAAAAGCTGTTAGACCGCTCCCCACATGCTTGGAGAATTGCTGCATGATCCTCGAGCGGGGTGCGATGCCCCAGGCGGGGCTGGACAACTGCCACAATCCAGAGAAGAGCCGAGGCAGCTGAATACCGGCCATTTCAAAGGTCTCTGAGATGACGCCAGGAGGCTTCTCAGATAGTATTTCCGTGCTTGCTACCGGAGCAGTGGCCAAAGAAGGATTGACAAGGTCTATAGTTGCTTCGAGACCTCTTTCCAACACAAAAGGCTGTGCGTTGGTCTCCCAGGCGGACTTGCTTGTCATTAGAGCTTTCAGCAAAGCCTCCAATGGCTGCCTTTCGGTCTCGGATAGTTGTCGTGATCCAGTCTCTACAAAGAGAGTCTTCTGAACGGCCGTGATGGCTTGGATGATATCACCATCTACACCGGCAATTTCGTCCACGATAGCCGACTGGTCGGAGCTGAGCTTCATCTGGGAGACTTGCTCAACGATGCTTTGAAGCAGAGGGATGGCCTGGTAGCATAGACCACATCCCACCATACAACAAATGCGTTTCCGTAGTTGCTGGAACGAGGGTGTCGTTTGGAAAGGACCGTCGACTGTCTGCTCGACCACAACGACATCAGAGAATTTGGAAGCAGTCTCTTCCAAATAGTTTCTCGTCTGTTCTTCAAAGATAGGCGTACAATCCGGTCTATTGGCTAGAATGCCGCGCATAACAGCTCGCAGTCCTTCGATGGGCAGATTGGCGATATTCGTATCAGCCATCATGTTAACATGGCCCGCCTTGGGCTTTGAGGGCGCCATCCTGAAGTGTGTGTGTCCAAAGATATGAAAAAGCACGCCTGTCCTGTCATAGATGATCCCTGCAAAACGAAACTCACCGGCCGGCGACTTCACGTTTCAGGCAATTGCGTTAACTTCCGCCGGCGTTCAAACCAGGTTGAGTCCCCGGTAAACCTCGGGAGACGATCGTCACGGACTAACCGGATTCGGACATCGGCCCCAGTCGATAACGGAAGAAGCTCCTCGGGCTGATCGCCCCCCGTGGAGAGTCTTCCTGGTCCACCTCCTCACTCACCTCGATATGGACGGGGACGTGCATGGAGCCCCGAAAGCTAGGTAAGACCCTTGCAGCTTGGAATTGGGGTTGAATCTGACCTGTCAGCAGCGCCAATGCATGCCTGGCATGTCGGCGCGTGAAGATGAAATGCACCATGACGCTCGATGCCGTCAAGTGCGACCGCTGTGTGCGCAAATCACTGGACTGCATGTTCCGTGAACATCGTCGGGGGAGGAAGCCTGGCACGCGGTATGTGACTCAATTACACCTGCAAGGATCGTGTGTTGACATTGCCCCGCACATAGCTTGATCAAGCCCAATGCCAAGCGGTCGCTCGACTCACCACAGGGCCCATCATTCCCAGAAGGGATGCCGGCCGAAGGTGATACGAGACGGCCCAGTTCACCGAGGGACGAACGCGTTTCCGACTTTTGGGCGGAGTCGGAGGGGCTTCAGCCTGATGGCCTGCTGAGCCATCAGGCGATGAAGGGGAAGTTCTCGCTGCAGAATATCCTCAGTACTAATCATGGCTCGACTCCTGACCGACCGGTCGAATCAGTTTCGCCTGATGATCCAACTCGGTGTGGTATTGTTAGCCATGAGGTTGCTCTTCGTTTGTTTGAAAGGTAGGCAAATTCCAATAGGAATGCGAGGCCAATTGCTGATCTATTAACAGCTTTATGACGAAACTAAACCCCTTCGTCAGCCAACTGGATCCTCACCTCCATTCCTTCACATATGTGCGACAGAAATCGTCATTTCTGCTCGCTGCAGTTCTTACCGCTGCCTCCAAATCATTCGAAATTTCATTATACCCAAGTCTCCATGAACATGCCGAAAAGCTATACATGGAGGCTTTCCGGCGGGGAGATAAATCCGCCGAGACAGTCCAAGCCATCATGGTTCTTACATATTGGAAGGAGCCAAATGATACAAGAGCCTGGATGTCTGTTGGTCTTGCAATCCGCATGTCAATGGATCTGGGTTGGCATAAGTTAGGACAGGATCCCGCAAGGCAAGAGAAATTGACCGAGCTTCAACAAAGAGAAATCAGAAATGACGAACGGACGTGGTTGGTGCTGTTCGTGTACGATCGCAGGTAGGCGCTTCCCGGTCCCCATTGTTGATTTGCATTGACACAATTGAAAACAGTATGAGTTTGCAGACAGGCAAGCCTTGGATGATTGAGCGAACTCCATTTATTGAGTCGGCGCAAGACTGGTGGAGGCATCCACTCGCCATCGATAATGATCCATTTCTCTGCGCGTTTGTCACTCTCCGGCTGCTGGCAGCGGAAGTGTTCGACCTGTCCAGCCCTGGTAATCACTATCCAGCACCTCGGGCGTTGGCAATTCTTCAAAATAGGATTGAGCAATGGCAAAATAAGTGGCTTGATGTGGTTGATCCAGGTAAGTTTCACTATGACACACATCCATTCGGCTTATACTAACTCATAAATTCAGGAAGCTGCCATAATTTCATGATCCGGTTCTACGGCGCTCATCAATCTTTGCAACTCTTCTCTATGCCTCTCCAAGAGACTTTGAAGAACCAAACCTTTAATGAAACCTGCGATCTAAAACCATTGTGGATCAGCTATCACAGTGCTACGACCATGTTGCGGTTGATGGCCGAGTTCCCGTCCTTTTTGAGCCTCTGTCAAGACTCTGTACATGTCATGACTGCCTACTCTGCAGTTCTTCTCATCAAGGTAAGGCACTCCATGCTTCACTTCTCTTGAAGCCTTCTCACAATTATTATAGCTGCTTCTCTCTTCTCCTCCTATGATAAGCCAGGAGATCGAGCCCGACACAATTGCAACAATTCGTGCAGCGGCAAATGTATTCACCGGCCAAACCGCACCTTTAAGTACAAGCTGCAGTCTCCAATCCCGGTTCCTAAACAACATCCTCATGGAATTTGCAACCCTTCGACGCCCCCGTCCAATAGACAGACACCGATCTATCGACCGGGCGCAAGGATTCGCCGACACAAATGCTCCAACATCAAATGCCACCTCATTCCCAGGTTCCCCTGCTACTGCCCCATCTCACTCCCCAATCCACCAAACCGCGGAGACCCATAGTATCCCCACAGCGAGGCCTTACCCGCAACCAAACCCAACTAATCCAGATCAAGCCGTCGTCCAGCCACAAAGCCATCCTCCCCATCCACAATCCATCCAAGCCACATACTTCCACCGGCCATCTGTTCCAAATCCCGATCCTGCGTATGATACACCTATGGCTGGCATCCCACCAGGACCAAACGGTCTCCCCGCCGTCTCAAATATGTGTTACAATAACCAACTAGATGCAGCCTCGAACTTTGTGTTCAACGACGAGGCTATGTGGGTCGGTATGTTCGCTAGTGCTGGATTCAACCTCCAAGACGGTGTCTTCTGTGGCTGAACTATACCCCCTATGCCGTCATTTCTCGGTTTCTTTTTCTGGCAGTGTTTTACTATATGGACATATAGTGTAATTTTGTGTTATTTATTAGACATTCTTGGATGTCACTATTAGAAGGATATACTTTTGTCTTTTTGCTAGAGATAGAACCATAGGCTCTCTCACCTGAGCAAAATTATAGTCTGATATATACTCAATTTAAAGGCTTTTGATTACACATATATGTGAGCGCTTCACGAAATATCCGTGTAGCATTCGTCTCTTTGAAATCTGTGTTTCCCCCAACCCGGCCTTGTGTCATATTGGCTTCCGGTATTCCGGCACCGTTTGGACGAGGTACTTCTAGATTCAGTTCCATCATCCCGTTGGCAACCTCGTGTGCGACAAACGGTAAAAATTGCCTCGATGCTGCGTAACATAGTAGAAATGACTTCGAATATATTTACTCTTACAACTGGGTATCTAGATATCTGTCCCAAGAGGATATTAGCAGAAATATAAATATAACTGGCTTCTGCTGAAAGTATGTTCTATTAAGTTCCAGATCTCTGGTTTCATCAGCTTAAGTATTTCGGAAAGCTCTCGGCGATTATACATGCCACAAGAAAATGAATTTTGTGGAACATTTCTCTGCATCGAACAACCTTTTGCTATTGGATAATCCGTCATAAATAGTGATTGTGATGACGTTTACATGGACTGGAATCAAATAGCTATGTGCAACCTCTTGAGGTTATGCAGAGCATTGTGATGGATAAATCTGTATTAATCTTCCACGGCATAATATGAATGTTATGCTTATTGTCTGACGAGAAATATAAAAAGAGTGAGATGGATTTCAATGGGATGCATTATCTGAAGATGTTTGTTCGCAACGCATCCGCAACGTAAGAAATATATAACAGCAACCATGATGGATAATCATCTATTCATATACTCTTGGCCGCAGTCATTATTCATAATCGGAACCATTTTGTTGGTCCCTCTTCTTCTTTATTACACATTCCCTTTCGGATCAAAATATGCGATTATCAATGCCAAATCTCGACTCGACTTCCTCGGCACAAAAGCAAGAAAAAATTACGTAGCAGATGCCAAAAATCTCATCGAGTCAGGACTCGCGAAAGTATGTTGATCGCAACTAGTCAAAATATGCCAGGTTATGGTTTACTCACTTCAGCAGTCTAGCCTTTTCAAACTCGTGGGCGACTCAGGCACCCTACTGATTCTATCACCAAAATATGCAAATGAAATCCGGAGTCACCCTTTCCTTAGCTTCACCAAGGCATTGATCACTGAGACTCATCCTTATATTAAAGGATTCGAGCCAATGCTGCAGATCGCTCTACCCTCCGAAATATTTCAAGTGGCAACTCGGACGAAGATGACACGGGCTTTAGGTAGATGACTCTTCTTCGCGTAATATGGTCAATTCATACTGACTATCATTATAGGAAGTCTTACGAAACCACTTTCCAGTGAAACCACCGCTGCCCTTCAAGATATCTGGACAGAAGACACAGGTATAAAACATACCCACCCACTCCCATCAAGTGTATAAACCCTAACCCAAAAAAGACTGGCATACAACCACCCTAACACCAGACCTCCGAAAGATAATATCCCAAACCGCCTCCAAGATTTTCCTCGGCAACGAACTAAGCCGAAACAAACTTTGGCTCCAAGTAACAGCAGACTACACCGCAAACCTAATGAAAGCAACCGAAGCCCTACGCCGATGGCCACAAACCCTCCGGCCCTTGATATCCCTCTTCCTCCCAATAACCCGCCAGCTCCGCAATAATCTAACCCAAGCCCGCAAACTGGTTATACCGGTCCTGGACGAAAGACGTCGAAGCCAGGACGCTGCCGTGCGCGAGGGGAGAGTACTGGACCGACATGATGATGCTATGCAGTGGATTGAGGAATGCGTTAATGGCCGTCCTTATGACCCCGCGGGCATGCAGTTGGCGTTGGTAATTGTTGCTATTGTTGGTGCCACTGATCTGATGACGCAGGCGGTATTTAATCTTTGTGAAATGGGGGATGTGGTGAGGGCGTTGAGGGAGGAGATTATTTCTGTGTTTCGGGTTGAGGGGATGACGCGCGCTTCGTTGTATAAGTTGCAGTTGATGGATAGTTTTTTGAAGGAGAGTCAGAGGATGAAGCCTTTGGAACTTGGTAAGTGATGATCTGGTTTTGTTGTGTTAGTGCTGTTGCCATTCATAGACAACCTGGATGGTCTGACGACGATATCAGTTTCAATGCGCCGTGTTGCTAGCGACGACGTGTACCTGAAAGACGGACACAAGATCGACAAGGGGACTCGACTGGCTGTTTCCAACTGCTGGATGTGGGATCCGACATTTTACGAGGATCCCGAGACATTTGACGCTTATCGATTTGTGAAGCTGCGTCAGGTTTCAGGCCGCGAGGCCTCTGCGAATCTTGTCTCGGTCTCGCCGGAGCATATGGCTTTTGGGTTGGGGAGCCATGCATGTACGGGTCGCTTTTTTGCTGCGAATCAGATGAAGATTGTGCTGTGTCATATCCTTTTGAAGTATGAGTTCAAACTCGCCGAGGGGTCGATTCCTCAGCCTAGACGGTACGGGGTGAGGGCTCAGGCTGATCCTGCTGCAAAGATTTCGCTGCGTCGGCGACGGGAGGAGATATTTCTGGGTGATCTTGCCGATTAAGTATTGTGTATTGCGTTAGTTCGGTGTTCCCACTTCTTTGCGTATACTTATCTTGTGGCTTCGGGGTGGCTTGTGTGATGGATGTTCCTGATCGCTAATAATGGCTGGTTGTTCAAATCTAGGTGGATTTTCTGCTTTACTGTTTGTTTTTTTGGTGTGCAGGTTCGATACAAAATGGCTGTCCTTCGGGCAACTTAGCGCGGTCACTCCATCGGTACACCGGCACCGCTGGAATCGAACATTATAGTGGATGCAAAATAATAAAAAATAATCCCTTCAACAAAGCACAATATTGCCTAATTTTTGCATTAAAATTTGCCGGAGAGGCTCCAATTTTAATTAGATTACCATTTGATCCTTCGGGCAAAAACAAGGCTGAACGGAGTATACACGGAGTATAGAGGAGTAGTTAGATTGCACTATTAAGTGCGATCCACATAGTTCTCAGGGTTCCCACCTACGCAATTTCCCACCTGATCTGCTCTATATGCCAGGTTTTCACAACCACCGGTAGTTGGTGTGTCTAAGATATGTCTCCGTCTCGGACAAAGGCCGGGAAATGCCACAGCCGGTGGCGGCTTGTGCAAGAATAAAAAACACATAACTATTAGACGAGGTCCTCCGCTGGATAGTCCGAACCTGTTCTGGGTGGCGTCCCTGTCGCCTAAACCTGCCCTGAACTGGGGCATATGTCCGGTGTTCCTGGTACCTTGCATAAAGGGAAAAAAGGGAAAAGGGATTGGGGGCCAAACCTAGACCCTAAGCCCCGAGCGTGACTGATAATTTCGATCTAGAAGACACAGTCACATTGGCATGTTCTCGACTCGCTTTAGGGCAGAGACTAATGACTAAATAGGACTAAACAAGACTGAATCCGCCCAATTTCCGTAACCGAAGAAGGACGGAGATCCGGCTGTGCCTCCGACTACCCGGATCGGCGAGTGTGATTGGCGGGTTCGGGAATAACTAGAGCTGTTCGGGTTAGTGTGATTGCTTAGCCATTGTCGCTTGCGACCTCCCCGGACGTTCTCTTCTTATCTTTCAGTCTCTCAATTTCACAGGACTGTTGTTTACTTGCTTATGACGTGTAACAAGTGGATACAAACATGGGCAAACAACACTGCATTTAACACAACTTCCAGATTTCAATCAATGGCTCGACGAGAACTATGCGATTAGCGCCTTCGGAGTCCAACGCACAGTGGACCTCTTGATGTCTGTGCCATATCTCTCTTAACGTGATTGGGCATGGTCCATGGACTATCCAATCCGACCCTGAGACAAAATGCGGCTAAGATCCCTTAGGGTCTTTTAGTCCCTTTTATGCGGCTCTATCATACCGATCTAGGCACGGAGCCACCACACCCCTCTCATCCGCAGCAAGCCCTCTGGCTGACATGGCGCTCTCATTTCCCACAATGTGACATTCGAACGCCCGTGGCTGTATGATGCCACGCGTTTGGCTTGTGACACCTCTCTCTGCAGTGAATTCCCCGGACCACGCTTTCTTCTACGTGCGGGATTTGGCCGTTGTGGACAGATAGATCCTGGCCCCAGAACCTAGCGTTTTACACTACCAAGCGTCGAATCCACCTATGCCAGGCTACGCTGGCTGGGTGGACACTGGGCATTGACCTACCCATCCTGGCCGATTACCGCCGGATATCACGCATATGCTCATTTCCACGTTTTGATGGTTCGCTTCTACTTTCTGCTTAGTGCGCTCCATGTCGGAGGTCGGCACATTCTCTAGGGGGCTCAGATGGACCCCGTATGGGAGTTCTTATATGGATTCTGGTCTTTTTCCCTTCTTTCGACAAACAACTCTCTCTTTTTGTCGTTTGGGAATTTTAGCAGACATTTCGTCTGCGTCCTTTCATTGATCGCAAGCCTGTCACTCTTTTATCAGGTTGATCTGCGATTCTTATATCTAATTACATTCATTTCCCGTTAGCCATAATGCTTACCAGAACTGTTGCGGCCGTTTCGGCCCTGTCACTCTTTGCTTCCTCTGCTTTTGCTGTTGATGCCAGCTTGAAGAACAATGTTGCTGTCTACTACGGACAAGGTTATAACCAGCCTCGCCTAAGACACTTCTGTGACCAGACCTCAAACGATATCATCAACCTCGGGTTCATCAATGAGTTCCCTACTGCTGTGAACGATTGGCCCGGTAGCAACTTCGCCAACCAGTGTGATGGAACCCTCTTCGACGGTACCAACTTGCTCAGTGGCTGCCACCAGATCTGGGAGGATATTCCCTACTGCCAGGAGTTGGGCAAGACTGTCCTTCTTTCCATCGGCGGTGGCACTGCCACTGCCCAGTACCTCAAGGACGATGAAACTGCCGAGTGGTTTGCTGATTTCTTGTGGCACTCTTTTGGTCCTTACGACCTGGCCAACAGTCTCGGGTACCCTCGCCCATTCCTGACTGCCGGTGTTGATGGATTCGACTTTGATATTGAGTACAACGGAGGCGTTGGTATGTTCCCTCTCCCCCCAAGCCCTAATTACGCCCTAACGTCAATAGGATGGGCTGCTATGATCAACCGCCTGCGCTCCTACTACGACCAATACCCCCAGCAGAAGATGTACATCTCCGGTGCTCCTCAGTGCCAAATCCCCGATGCCCAACTGAGCGATGCTATCAAAAACTCCGTCTTCGACTTCATCTGGGTCCAGTTCTACAACACTGATGCCTGCTCTGCCCGCAACTGGGTCGATGGCCACGGCGACTTCGACTTCGGCCGGTGGGTTGAGGTTATCGAGGCTAGTGCCAACCCCGATGCTAAGCTCTACATCGGTCTGCCCGCCTCCTCGGACGCTGCTAACGAGGGATACTACTTGACCCCTGATGAGGCTGAGCCCCTGATCTCCACCTACATGAAGCTGTACCCCAAGCACTTCGGTGGTGTCATGCTGTGGGAGGCTACTGCCGGTGACAACAACGTTATTGATGGTCTCACTTACACTGAGCATATCAAGGAGATCCTGTACAGCTGTGCTCCTCCTGTTGTCTCTTCCACTGCCACTCCTACCCCCAGCTCCACTGCCACCCCTATCAAGTCTTCCACCGTTCCTCCCTCCAGCTCTGCTACCCCTACCAGCTCGCCTGCCAGCTCTCCTGCTGCCTCTTCCACTGTGTCGCCTTCGTCGTCTGCTGCTCCTAGCAGCACTCCTTCGTCTGCTCCTTCGAGCTCGGCTTCCCCCAGCGCCTCGGTGTCCCCCAGCTCTCCTGTTGGCACCGTCTCGCCTTCTAGAACACCTTCCGTCACCCCCAGCTCCCCCGCTGGTACTGTGTCTCCTTCCTCCTCGGTACCTGTGACTCCCTCCGGAACTCCCTCTGTCACCCCCAGCTCCCCCGCTGGTACCGTGTCTCCTTCCTCCTCGGTACCTGTGACTCCCTCCGGAACTCCCTCTCTCACTCCCAGCTCCCCTGCTGGTACCGTGTCTCCTTCCTCCTCGGTACCTGTGATTCCCTCCGGAACTCCCTCCGTCACCCCCAGCTCCCCCGCTGGTACCGTGTCTCCTTCTTCCTCCGCAGCGGTGTCTCCCTCCGTCTCCCCCAGCAAGCCAGCTTCCTCCGTTTCCCCCAGCGGCAGTGCTTCTAGCTCCGCCGCCTCATCCACTGACTGCGAGACCTCCGAGACCCCCTCGGCCTCCACCCCTGCTAGCAGCCCTGCCAGCAGCCCCGTGGCTTCTTCCGGACATCCCAGCCACACTATTACTGTGACTGCCCCCATTGGAACTCCCACTCCCAGCTCCCCCGTTGGCCCGGGCTCCAAGTCTAGCTCCAGCTCTACTCCTCTGGTCACCGGTCACTCTTCCAGCGTGACCCCCAGCAGCTCTGCTTCCTCCGCTACTGACTCTGGTGCCTCTTCCGCTACCAGTGCTCAGTCCACTGGTGTCCAGCCCACTGGCGCTCAGTCTTCTGGTGCTCAATCCACTGGCGTTCAGCCCACCGGCGCTCAGTCTTCTGGTGCCCAGTCTTCCGGTGCTCAGTCCACTGGCGCCCAGTCCACTGGAGCTCAGTCTTCCGGCGTCCAGCCCACCGGCACCGGATCCTCCTCCGGAATCACCATCACAATCCCCGTGACCCCGACTCCCTTGCACACCACCTCCGCCGAGACCATCACCACTGTGATCGTCACCTCCTATACCAGCATCTGCCCCACCGGTTTCACCACCATCACTACCACCCTGACCAGCTACTACTGCCCCGGCAATACCCCGGCCACCGCTACCGCGACTGGCCCTGCCGCAATTGGTACTGGTACTGCTGGTGTGACCGCTCCTACCTCCGGCCCGGCTACCACCAGCCCCTCTATCCCTGAGGGCTGGACCACCACTGTCACTGTCTGCACTGTTTGTGCTGCCACTCCTACCACTGTGACCCTCACTCTGCCTCCTGCGCCTACCACCACTGGTGTTGCTGCTGAGACTACTGCTGCCACTGCCACTGCTACCGCTCCTGCCCAGGGCTCTGGCTCTGGCTCGGGTTCGGGCTCCAGCTCCGGTTCCAACCCCGGCTCTGGCCAGGGTGAGGGTTCCAGCTCCGGTTCCAACCCCGGCTCTGGTTCATCTAGCCAGGGTGAGGGTTCCAGCTCTGGCTCTTCCGGCCATGGCTCTGGTTTCGGATCCGGGTCCAGCCCCGTTGGACCTGCGTCTTCTTCCAAGGGCATCTCCAGCACTCCAGTTGCACCTGTCCGCCCAGCCAAGACCTCGTCGACCCTGGCCTTCCGCCCCTCGACTGTCGCTACCAACACCCCTGTGGCGCCGACCAGCACTAGCAACCCCGAGGGCGTTTCCCCAGTCTACACCGGCGCCGCCTCCAAGGCCAACGTCACCGGCCTCTTCGGCTCCCTCCTCGCCGTCGCTCTCTCGATGTTCGTCATGTTGTGAGTCTGTCCAGTTATCTGGTCAGCATGATCCCATCATCTACACGATGCGCCTGATCTCACGATGCTGCATCAGAGAGAAGCTGTAATTGCCTGGGCGATTATTTTTAATTATGATCTTGCTTTATTATATTCTTTTTTTACTGATCGCTAGCATTTCTGGGGTTTACCCTTCCCTGTTTTATTGGCGTGATTCAATACCTCTTGGCCTGATTTTGTGATTTACTCCGGCCATTTCTCTGACTAGACCCCTCGGTCAAATCTCACTGTTCAATTTCCTAATGACTTCTCCCAATGTGTATTCTGTGGACCCTTTGTGTTCGCTTGTCATTCCCTGTCTGGGTGTTATCGTACCTTTTTCATTATGCTATCTGCAATAGACAAAATAAAATGTTAATTGTATATATGAAACAAATCTGTTGACTTATTAGATTTTACCCAAAAACTCTTCCAACTGTAATGGTCAGTCGATCTTATACACATGGTTCCCCGCAGCCGAGGTCCGTGGATACACTCGGCTGCGGAGTAACTTAACTTGAACCACTTGAACCTCTTCTACTTCCAATGTTTTATTTCTATACACAATGGCTTCTTCATTAAAAGGCATCAAAGTCATTGAATTGGCTGGTCTAGCTCCAGGTGCGCAGTCAACTTCCTACTAAGAACCCAACTAACCAATTTCCCAGGCCCATTCGCTGGTCTCCTCTTAGCCGACTATGGCGCCTCTGTACTCCGCATAGACAGACCAGGAAGCGTGAACGCAGACCAGCTAACAAGAAACAAAACATCAATCACACTCGACCTGCGCGATGAAAACTCACGGAGCGTGCTCATCCGCCTGCTCACCGCAGCAGATGTGCTAATCGACCCATTCCGGCCAGGCGTTCTCGAGCGCCTCGGTCTCTCTCCGACAGAAGTTCTCCTGAAGCACAATCCGCGATTGATAGTCGCACGCATGACGGGCTTCCGGCGAGATGGAAAGTACAAAGATATGGCGGGCCACGACATAAACTACATCGCTGTGTCGGGCGTACTATCAATGCTCGGACGCGCCGGCGAAAAGCCCTACGCACCAGGAAACATCCTAGGAGACTTCGCTGGTGGCGGAGCCATCTGCTTCCAGGGTGTTCTGCTAGCACTCATCTCCCGCTCGCACACTGGCCGAGGGCAAGTGGTCGAAGCCAACATGGTCGACGGCTCAGCCTACCTAGCAACATTCCCCCGACTTGCGCGTCAGACTCCAGCCTGGGGCGAGCCGCGAGGCCAGAACCTGCTGGATAGTGGGTGCCCCTACTATGATACATACGAGACCAAAGATGCCGGAAAATATTTCGCAGTCGGGGCATTGGAGCCACAGTTTTACGCGGCGCTGCTGCGTGGACTAAATCTCGATCCGAAGAAGACTCCTAAGCGTGAAGATCGTGCTAATTGGCCTGCCCTACGGGATATATTCACTCGTCGGTTCAAGGACAAGACTCGCGCTGAGTGGGAGGATATCTTCGACGGTACGGATGCCTGTGCAACTCCCGTGCTGGAGCAGGATGAACTCGAAGCATCAGGCTACGAGCAGCGCCCCATTGTCCACCTGGCGAGCACGCCTGCAGCCCCGATCCAAGCCGATCAGGGTGGTTGGAGCGGCGGGGTTCTTGTACCCGGTGATGGAGGCGCGGAGACTCTTAGGGTGTGGATGGGGTGGGAGCAAGACAAGGACTTCACCGTTCGACACGATGGGGCGTTATTACCGGCGAATGGCAGGACTAAACTGTAACTTGGCGTATCCCCGCTAGTTGACGCTAGTTTCGGGTGGTCTGGCACTTGCATTGTAGATAGATACTTTGATGTTTTTGATGTCTTTCATTTTCTACATACCTGAATGCCCCATATCCAGGGTCATGTTGTTACATCACACTACTAGTGTTCCTGGCTGTCAATGTCTGTTTCATCAGGAACGGGCTGCAAATCCGGATACGCCGAAACATGTTGACGTCACGACTATATCCCCAGATCCACAGCTGAGATAATCAGCCCATATAGTGTGGCGCAGCGTATTGCTCCGTTACAGAGTACAATTGAATTTTCGTTAGGGTTTGCTAGGTATGAACAGTTTCGTCTGTTTTCGCCTTCAAGGGCGGCATTACGTCGCTAAGCGAAGGGGTTATAGCGTCATCTTCCTTGCTCAGGTATGCGCTAAGACAGCCCCGGTGCCCTTGGAGCGAAGAAATAGCCGAATGCGAATAACATCATTCCCGTTCAAAGGTAATTCCTTTAGCTCCCCTACTCTAGCAGGGATGTATACCCCGCATTGTGAGCATATTAGGATCAGCCCGCGGTCATCGGTCCTCGGTCTTATGGCCGGCTTGAATTGAACCGGTGTGTACCAGGTAGCGAGATGTACATAAGACCGTAACTTATAAGTTATCTTAGAAGGTAAAAGAGCATCCTACTCCTATAGATCCAACGTCCAGACAAGCATTGGGGCAATGGTATACGCGGCAGTCCCCACCCAGATGATCATCCTGCCTATCAAAGAAGACGCGCAAATCGACGCACCCTCGACTAAGCAGGGCCAGCTCTGGTTGCAGATCTGAGTGTTCTGGAACACTGGTCCGGATTCCGTCACCTGTGCTGGGGACGACAGTGGAGGAGCCAGGCCAACTCCATCTTCACATCGGTGAGTGAAGGAACCAGCCACCGCTGGGATCACCGCTGCAGCCAAGCAAGAAAGTAATCTCGCCCTTGAGCGTTCCAGTTCGAGCCAGTCTACACCAGCTCTATGCCCTGCTTGGACCCCCTGAGTGGCAGGAGATTACCAAAACCTTGACCTTGATTTCGCCCGGCATTTCGGATGCTAGCTCTCGCTCACGGTCCGCCATGCCATGATCTTCAAAACTCTCGCCTAACACTAACAGCTTAGGGAGTGGTGCGCCCATTACAGGGACGGCTAACTACCTGGCTGCCAACCCTGCGACCTGGGAGAAGACGTGGGCACTGTGGACCGGTATTGTCGCCAATGTGCCTGGCTGCACTGGTGTTACGGGCGGGTGGATGGTGGAGCCGGTTGATGGCTACAGCCCCTGCTTTGTAGTTTATGTTGGCTGGGAAAGTTTGGAGGTCCACGACACGTATCACCGTAGGCGAGCAGTTATTCTCGGGGAGAATAATCATGGGTTTCGGGAGTATGGTCATGTCGCCCTCGGGCACTCACGTGCTCGGGAGGCGAATCTGTAGGGCTGAGGCATGTGTAAGGTAGCATTCAAGAGAGAAATGACATCTAAAGAAAGAGAAAGTGAAACAACTGAAACATTTAGAGCATCACTGTAACTAATCAACTGTAACTCTGTACAGGTAACTGTATTGACCCAGCCTCAGTGTGGCTTTGCTGAGTACTCCACCCGCCAAACTGGGTTGGAAGGTACTTTGTCCGTCGTGTTCCGTATCGACCAATCATTCTGCCCAACCAAGGAACGGCCGGTCAAAGTCCTCTTCTCTCCCCGACCTAACTCTCCTCCCCTTAAGGTCCAACTGCCCATACTCTGACTTTCTCACTCTCGCTTATTCTTCACTTTCATTGCGAGACTCTACAACTCTCTAAACCCTCCCCAGTGTGTTGCCTCGTGTGCGCTCCCAACCCTCGCCTCAAACTACCCCGAGTTTCCACCCCATTCCACTTTTAACTACGGACAGGCGCCTGTGCAGCTCTCAGGCGTACAATTTCAGCCTTCCGCTTAGGACCTCCCAAATCGGACTGTGCAGCTGTGTACTGCAGTGGGAGCTGAAACGGCATCTCCTTACCCGTCAGCCGCGCGCATCGGAGACGCAAAGGACCACTTTCGCCAAGTCACCACAAACCAGCCTCCCACCTCCTGGGATAATTCACAGGTCTCTTTGCGATCTGGTGAATACGCTGGATTTTTGGAGCAGTCGCACGTTGGGATTATATGGCTGGTGTCCTATCCCCGCCCAACATGACGGAATTTCGAATGCCCCTCCACCAGGGCCCTCCAGCCCGAAAGCCCCTCGCCGCTCCTCAGCCTGGCTATGGTTATCAGCCATACGATGCTCCCCGAGGCCAGCTTGCTCCTCATCTCGCCGGACCCCAGACTACCCACAGTCGGACTCGCACAACCTCCTCTAGCGTTCTGCCCTACGCCCAAGGCTCGCACAACTACCACGGCGCTCCCCACCCTCCTCCTATTCCTCAAAACATGGCTCTCCCTCACCATTCTCCCTCTCGCCGCATGTCGAGCACCACCACTTCAACCTCGTCTACTGGTAACCACCCCACGGCGCATGGCGCGCCAAGCGTTTCAGATATTCGGCGCACGGCCTCCTCTCGCTCTGCCAATTCCCAGCTTGGGTATGTGGCTCTCATGCGGCGGCAAAAGGCGACTGTTTGGTGTGATCGCGCACAGCCTGAAGACGCCAGGTTGCGCGAGCAAGCGATGCGTGACAAGAAGAGAGCGTACCTCGAGGTCCACGGATCAGGCGCCGGCCGGGCAGGAACCCTGGCCAGTGGCAAGATCCGCCACGGACCTAAGGGTGCAGCAGACTTCTCGCCCTCCAATCTTGTGGGCGCTAAGGTCCCTGTGCGATTGAGTGCGAATGAGATCGGTGACGGGGAAGATGACGCTCTCAGCAGCGATGGTGGCGCAATCCACCGGCGCACTGGTAGCGGGCGGAGCTCACTCGGAAGCCAAACTCGCTATCCGAGTGGGTACTCGCGGCCACAAGGCACAATGGGTAGCAACAGCACACCTCCAAACGAAAAGACCGATCTTCCGGAGGTGTCAGAAAATCGACCCGCTGAGATTCAAGCGGAGGAGAAGAGCAGACTTTCCTCCTTGGTTAAGGATGATGCTGCAACAACACACAGCAGCGAGCAAGAACAAGAGGATTTCGTTGGCGATATGGCAGCTCCAAGTGCCGCCAATGCGGCAGCCCAGAAGGCCAAGAAGGCAGATGAGTTGCGACGACGAGGCAGTGTGGACGAACGCACTACTTCCATGACGAATGTGCGACTCTTCGTCGCAAACCCCGATCTCAGCGACTGAGCATCTTTCAACTTCCACCCAATATCTGCCTATCTTCGTACCCTTTGTCTTCTCGCCTGATCCCGCCTTTACATCTTATGATTTCTACATGATTTCTCTTACCGCACTTACTGCACATAATACCTACCCTTGCTGCAATTCCAATTCTGGCACGTCTGGCAAATCTTGATGATTTGACCTGTGTCGTCCATGTTATGTTCATATTCTTTTGCGCTTTTATTGTCTGGTTCTTATTCCCTTCAAGCGCTGTGTTCCTGTCTCCCAGGGCTTCCCTGTTCTGCTGTATATCCTTGATGGCACTGTGGGTCTCTATGGATTGGCTATGCGGGCTGTCTTCGTGCTTTTGTGGCTGCATATTGGGTCATTCTGGCGTTGATCTGGCATAGCTTCTCTTTTATCTAGAGATAGTAATAGTAAACCAAATACTTACTCAATTGGTGTTGTGCTTAGTAGCTTCGCATCGCTTGCTTAAACCCTACCACATCTGCTATCAAAATAACATTTAGCACAAGGTATGAGATGAACAATTGGATCCCCAATTGGCACTACATATAACCCCCACACAAGTTGCGGGATGGCCATTAGCTAAGCACACACGTTATCGGTCGCGCATCGCGATCCATTAACGCGTCCCTTGTCAGGCACAACTCCTTCCGATGAACTGGTCGCTTCCCCCAGCGGAGCCAACCTCTCTTGCATTCATTGACAGTGCATGACTTTATACTGTTCAGTGTGCAATACACCTTACATATCTCTATTCCTTCTTTGAGAATAAACAGATCGCCGACTGAAAACACGACCGTCACACGACAACTCGACCCTTTATCCTATCCTATTGGACCACGACTCAGGCGACTAGAGTCTTGACTCGGTCGCTGTGGCAAAATTAGAGTCCATGGAGCCCAACGCCAGTCTATCACCGATGCCACCGGCCCAACCAATTCCCGCCTCACCATCAGCAGGACCGAGAAAACGTTCTATCCATGAAGTCGATGATGCGGCGACCCCTTCTCCGAACGCGAAGCGTACATTGACTGAATATACTGCCGAGAATCAGGAGAACCGTGATCCTTCGCTGCCTTCGCAATCGGATGAGGTTCTCCCTCCGACGGATAATTTCAGGAATTCGTTCCAACGGCCGACAGTTGAGATTGTTGTGAGGAAGTCTTCTAGTGGTCAGAACTCTCCGAAGACCGCCTCGAACCCGGAGCCAGATGCTCCGGCTTCTAAGAAACGGAAGGCGACGACGGCTACCAAAGATGCTAAGCAGCAAGAAAAGGATGTGAAGGAGCGCCAGAAGCAGGAGGAGAAGGCGAAGAAGGAAGAAGAGAAGGCCAAGAGGGAAGAGGAAAAGGCCAAGAAAGAAGAAGAGAAGCGATTGAAGGCTGAAGAGAAAAAGAAGCGCGACGCCGAGCGTGACGAAGAAAAGCGGAAGCGGGAAGCTGAACGAGAGGAAGAGAAGAAACAGCGAGAAGAAAAGAAGAAGGCCAAGGAGGATGAAAAGGCTGCTAAAGAAGCCGCCAAAGAAGAGGAGAAGCGCAAGAAGGACGAGGAGAAGGAGAAGAAGGCGCGAGTAAGTGGCATCTCCAGGCACAAACACCCAGACATGCTGACCCTTCGCCCATCTAGTCACAAATGAGGTTGAACTCTTTCTTCGCCAAACCCCCGGCCAACTCCGCTCCTTTGGGGCAGAGCAACACTACTGTTTCGCCCGGGAAACCTTCAGCTTCGAATGATATCATCCATGAAACGCCCCAGGACCAGAAATCGGACTACGAGCGGGCATTTCCCGCCTTCTTCTTACAGTCACATACAACTGTTGCACCTCCCCATCGCTTTGAGCGTGACTATGGATCACTAGAGCACGTACGCCAAACCATTGATGCGTGTCTGAACGCTGACACCCCCGCACAACCACGACCCTTCCGCCCCTCTGAGGTCTTTCATATGATTCCATTCCATCGTAAGAGAGGTCGGGCGGCCGCTTCCGTGAAGGATATTCTTTTACAGCTACAGAAAGCCGAGGACGATTCCACGAATCTCCCCCAGAATCAGAGCAGTGGGACTTCTACGAGACCAGAAGATCTTTTGCGCAAAGTAACTATGAAGTCACTCAAGTTCGGCGAGGATATACGCCCTCCCTATCAGGGAACATATACTCGTCGTGTGTCCGCGTCATCTGCCAAAAGACTTTCACGAAACCCATACTATCGTGGCCTGCCGGATACAGATTACGATTATGACTCAGAGGCAGAGTGGGAAGAGCCTGAAGAGGGCGAAGAGCTGGACTCAGAAGAAGAGGAGGAAGGCAGTGACGACGGCGAGGATGACCTCGACGGTTTCCTCGATGATGAAGACGATGCTCCTGCCGACGGCAAGCGTCGCTTAATTGTCGGTGACCTCGAGCCTGTTTGCAGTGGGATTCAGTGGGCTGCCAATGGAGTTGATCCCGAGCTCCAGGTATATCAGATTCAAACCATCTCCGACGCGGTCAAGTTCCCCATCGATCCTTTTTCAACTGCCTACTGGGAAAAGCCCAAGCCGGCACCGACTGCAAAGCGCACTGCCGTGCCTATCGCTTCTGGTCGTCCCACAGGACTGGATGTGTTCCGTGTTCCTGCTGTCCCTGGTGGACCAGCGGGCACTGCTCTGCCCCCAAATACAAAGGCCAAGCGACCATTCCCGCCGGAGCAACTTGGTGAATTTAAAGAGGCTGTTGAAGGAAACGATCTCAGCAAGATCGGGTTAGTCGAGATCTTAAAGAAACGGTTTGTGCTCCGATGCCCGCTTCCATACATTATGCTAACATGTATATAGATTCCCCAAGGTATCTAAAGAGACTTTGAAGGCTACCCTTGACCTGGTCGCTGTTCGCGTGGGAGAGCGGGAGGCCGACAAGAAATGGGTATGTCGGTGATGCCCTAAGATTTTGCGTACACTTGCATGAGTATGAACGGAGTTATGGATTGGCGACATGTCTTACGAACCATTTTGACCCTCCTATGATTTTCTGTATGTTTCTCGGGGTGTCCCGGATTAGCTGCATGGGTCAAATGTCGGCAGACCCGATTGTGCGCGTGTTGTAGTATATCAAGTATTGTATCCCTGCATGTGAGGGTAGTTTGCCACTCAAAAACGTCCAAGCGTGGGTTATTTTTCCACAGCATTTCTCTGGGCCAGCGTGTTTCCGAATATTACAGAATACTAGGATAATTTATAGCTGTTGAATATTAAATACAGGTCAAGTTCTAAACGATACATCAGAGGTATAAAAGCGACGCTGACTCCGCAAGTTGAGGGGGGGAGACGGACGAATGAGGGGGGACTGTCCACCTCACTCATGCATTGCCAACGCATCGTCTTGTACTCGGTACCTCCCTTGCGCTTGTTAAGATCTCTCGAGTTTGACCGTGTTTGACTCTGAGATTCTCTACCATCTCCCCTCTCTACCTCCCTTTTCCTCACCTTCATCCTGGACTTGGACTG